AAAAAAAAAAAAAAATCCTTTCCCATATTAATTGAATTTGAGTACTTTAATAGGGTATGACTGTCTCTTAAAGAGACTAAAAGGTCTTTAAAATGTTGCAAAAGGAAATGAGTGGTAGAATTTAGTGATTTAAAAGCCAAAGGATACTACCTCTAGTCCTTAAATACCAAATCCACTGCAGTCTTAGTTATCTTAGTTTGCTCAGGCTGCCATAACAAAATACCATAGACTGTGAGGCTTAAACAACATATGTTTGTTTATTTTATCATGTTTCTGGAGGCTGAAAATCCTAGATCATGGTTGTAGCTTATTTGGTTTCTGGTAAGGTAGGGAGAGAAAGAGGGAGCATGCTGTGGTATATCTTTTTATACAGACACCAGTCCTCTTGCATCAGGGCCCTACCTGATGACCTCATTTAACCATAATTGCTTCTTTATAACCTCTATCTTCAAATACATTCGAATTTGGAGTTAGAACTGTAGCATAAGAATTTTGTGGGAGATAGATATAATTTAGTCCAAAGCATTCTGCTGTTAGGCACCCCTCCCCTCCAAATTCATGTCTTTATCACATGCAAAACACAATTCCAACAGCTCCAAAGGTGTCACTCAATTCAGCATCAACTCTAAAGTCTGAGGTCAGAGTCTCATCTAAATATCACCCAAGTCAGATATGGATGAGATTCAAGGTATGATTCATCCTGAGGGAAATTCCTCTCCAGCTATGACTGTGTAAAACCAAACAAATTATGTGTTTCCAAAATATGCTTGTAACTGTAAATAGGCTTAGAGTAGACATTCCCATTCCAGAATGTCTTCTTCAAATGGAGAAGTCAGAAGGAAAGAAGGAAGGTGTGATAGCTCCCAAGCAATTTCAAAACCTAGCAAGTCAAATTTTATTACATTTTAAGGCCCAAGAATAATCCTCTTTGGTTGGATACTCTGTTCTCCAGGTTCCTTGGGGTGGCAGCATCACCATCATAGTTCTGCAGATCACCCCACCACTGAGGCACTGATTGTAGCCATCCTGACCATCCAAATCTGGAAAGACAGCTCCACCATTTGAAGTACAAAGTGGATTCTACATTGTGAAGTATTTTTACAACGGCATCCACTTCTCAGTATCAAAATCTCATTCTTAGTCTGCTTAACTGCCGTAACAAAATACTATAGGTTGAATGGCTTAAACAATATACATTGGCTGGGTGCAGTGGCTCACACCTATGATCCTAGCATTCTGGGAGGCAAAGGCAGGAGGATGGCTTAGGCTTAAGAGTACATGACCAGTCAGAGCAAGAGTGAGACCCCATCTCCACTAAAAATAGAAAAATTAGCCTGGCACAGTGGCATGTGCCTATAATCCTAGCTACTCAGGATGCTAAGGCAGAAGGATCACTTGAGTCCAGGAGTTCGAGGTTGCTGTGAGCTGTGGTGCCACTGCACTGTAGCCTGGATGACAGAGTGAGACTTTGTCTTGGGGGGAAAAAAAAACTAAACTAAAAATAGCTGGGCATTGTGGCAGGTGCCTATAGTACCCAGCAATTGGGATGCTGAGGCAGGAGGATTGCTTGAACTTAAACCAAAGAAGTTTAAGGTTGTTGTGAGCTAGACTGATGCCATGGCACTCTAGCCTGTGCAACAGAGTGAGACTCTGTCTTTTAAAAAAAAGGAAAACATGTATGTATACATTCATACATTTATGTCCTCATAGTTCTAGAGGCTGGGAAGCCTGAGATCAAGGGCTGGCTGATTTGGTTTCTGGTAAGGGCTCTTCCTGTCTTAAAGATAGCTGCCTTCTCACTGTGTCCTCACATGGTGCAGAGAGAGAGAGGGGGAGAGAATGTGTATACGTCTCTTCTTATAAGGGCACGTATCTTGTTATATCAGGGCCCCACTCCTATGATCTCATTTAACCTTAAATTGCCTCCTTATTGGCTTCATGTCCAAATATAGAAATATTAGAGGTTAGGGCTTCAGTATACAAATGGGTGGGGAAGGGACATAATTTAGTCTGTAGGAAGTACAGTGTATGTTATAAAATCCAGGACTTTACCTGGATTTGAGAATTTTTCTCTCTCGTATTTCTTCTGATCTTGATCCAACATGAATAGCTTTATAATTTGTATTGCTCCTAAACTAAAAGATATCACAGTACAAAATAAAGAGCTTTGGAGTCAGCTAACCTGGATCTAAGTTCTGAATTTGTCACTGTGTATTTTTAAGCAAGTCACACAACCTCTCTTGGTTTTTACATCAGTGGATACTAACTGCCCTGCCTACCTCATAAGATTGTTATAATGCCTGTGTTCATATAGTAAAGCTACTTTCATAAACTATAAAGTACATGTAAATAATAATACATTATTATTATTAACAATAATC